ATTTAAAAATGTTAACTGGGAAAATCTTATTTGTAATACTCATTCATTTACAAAGCTACCGAAAATTCTTCAACCAAATATCTAGATCTCGTTAGGGAATGTGTACCGGAAAAATCAAAGAAAATCACAAAATTTTAGTAAACCTGTATGTAAATGGCAAACTTACAAATTACCATTTCTACGATCTTTTATAAATGAGTGGAATTCTTCGTCGCTAAATACCAGACTTTGGAGCTATTTGTCTGCTTTTAAAAGTAAAACTAAACAAAAAATAGCAGATGGCCGGCCTTATTTTGATTTTGGGAAAAGATGCAACAATATACTGCATACTAAGCTTCGGCACAACTTCGTGCTAGACCTTGATATTCATAGATATATAGAGCTTTGCAAATATATACACCATCTCAACTCGTTGGATAGAGCCAATATCAAATCACACAATTATCATGTTCTATTTATCTCATACGACTTTCGTTTCAACAAAACTTTGAGACTTCCCCTGCAAAATTATATGAATGATTGCTGATTCAAAGTGATGACGTATAACTGGATGACGTAGCACCGTTTATGTTGACATCCCTCGAAAGAAAGTAGATCGTGTTCAAAATTTAGAATTTTTTCCGATCTGCGTCTTTGAAAACATTATGTGACAATTACTGGAGCTTACATCAAACGAACTTCTGACTGAAAATAAACTCTTTGGACGATGGCAGTACAAAACGTGTTAGGCTAGGCTAGGGGTCTACTTACAGATTCATTGTTGATCCGTAGTAAGTTATACCTACATTACTAGGTAGGCATACGTAGTACAATAACATAAGAAAGCATAATTAAACATGTTAAAGGAATCTTATAACAACAACTTAACTGCTAGGCTTTACTTTCTCCGAAAACGATTTAAAAGGGGGTGTACGTTAACATAGATCTGTCTTCAAGTAGCTATTACAGGTTCCTTGATAAAAAAGACACTTCCTTGACATATACGAGTATTTATCTTGCTTTTAACGATATTATCGCTCTTTATCATTCATTTTATTAGGGTTATAATAGGTATCACAAATAAAAGTTTCAAATTAAATTTTGAAGCGAGGGATCGTGTCACACCCGGAAGTGCTATTGATAAAGCATCTACCCGTTGATAAAGCATAAGTTTTTCCAACGGCCTGTATCACCAACACGTATAAGATAAAACAATATCTAGCCCATTATTCATCCTGTGGTAAGGTAGAAGATACACATTATTTTTTCTCTTGTCCTTACTACAACGAGTCCAGGATAAATACTTTATGTTGAAAGAATAAAACGAGTCGCAGTAATTGATGAAGTTAATAATCTCGCATAAAGCTGATTAACTGTGGCGGCCTAAAGTGAAGTAAGATCCTCAACAATCACAAACAAAAGTAGAATCTAAACAGATGACTGAAAAAAGTTACTCGGAGAATTAATTTCTATACTGCATCGCTGACAGAGTTGTTTTAACGCCAGTAGCGGATTTAGAGCGGAGGGGACCATCCCCTTTTTTTCTGAATAATGATTGATAAATCAAGTTTTTTTTTTTTGGTGTTGATGTGGGCCCCTACCCTGACCTCAAACTGGTCCCATCCCCTTTTCAAAATTTCTGGATCCGCCTCTGAACGCATAACACTGGACCAAGATTTCATTGCATAAAAATCTTGTCTAATTTCCAATGGTGATCGCTTGATTTTTCGCTTTTTTGAATTTTTAACACTAAACGTTCCTTTAATAACATTTGTAGCACGTCTTAAAGATTGTGATATCATTCTAAACTAAGCAGTTATTATATTTATGAATTACGTGTATTCATCATCATGATGTTGTCACGAAAAATTGGGGAATTCCCTATAATTGTAAGTTTTGTGTCGTTGTTTCTAGCTCAAAAGTTTGCAAGAGTTTCGATCACCTGAAAACAATTACTACAAAATTTCTTGGAAAAAACAGTGATTTATAAAGGACTTTTTTATACGTGGGTTTATTTACAGGTATAAGTTTTAAATATAAAAATATGAGTATGTTCTATTCGTTTTACAGAAAATATACTTATATATATTAAATATTTTGTCACATGTGTAACGCTATTGTAACGTAATTACGTTTACGTCACGAAGGTCCCTTTTTACTTGACGCAAACTCATTTGTTTCAATTCAGTTGCATCAAGCGAAAAGGGACCCTCGTGACCAAATTTACGAAAATCGGTTTTTCACCGTTTCTGAAAGAGCTAGAAAGAGCTTTCTGAACATTTGATACCAAATATTTTATTACATACCTTATAAATTCTAATTAAAACTCCAAATGAAAACAATGCAATGCTAACAGGATAACACTGTAAAATGTTGAATAACGTCACATAACGTCATTGATAATTGGAACGTGCAACGTGATGACTAAATCAACCTTTTGTATTTTAGGAAAAAATTCTATATATACACGTATTTTAAAGTTTTTTAATATATATTTCTCCAAATATTAGCATTTTTATGATCGTATACATTGTAAAATAGTAAAAATTTTAAGGTTGTTGAAAAAATTATCATCTAAATGTACATGTATATTGAAATAATTAAATAAGAACTAAATTTTCAAGGAGTATATTCAACGACATCATTTCACCTTTTTTTTCTACATCATCAACATTATCATGCTTTAATCACTGGAAATTGGTATTTGAATGGATCCTTGACCAGGGACAGACCGATCACCATAAAAACCAAAAAGGTTCCTACTCTGAAATCCCCTCGCAAAGCATTCGTAACAACACGGCCATCTTCTAAGAGAAATTATTGTTCACCGAATTGACCGAGTATTTACAATTGCTCGCAAGGGGTTAAAAAAGAATGTCCGATATCACTGGTCATGAGGTAAGATTTAAAAGGCCAAAGGATTGTTAATAATTTTCTTTTTCGGTATAATCAGTAAACTCAGCAAAAGCAAACCTTTATTAGGCAGTTCCTACATGTATTTTTTAGAGGATTGATTGAATATATATTGCTTCACCGCCGAGTCGGCAATCTTTCAACTACGTTTCGGCGGAACATCAGTTTTACATAATCGGTTTTTGAAAGATTTTTGTTTCACTGGCGGCCCCCAGTGAGCATACTCTTTTTTAAACTCCAGAGAAACAATCTTTTACGTGCCAAAGGGGTTGTCATCCTTGACACGGGGCACAATTTTTCGTCCCGCCTGATGGACTTCTTATACAGGAAGTGAACTGTGAAGTATAGGGAGGTGCTGTAAAATGCTGTGTTTCTGTACAATGTTGTACTATAATGCACAGAGCTTAGTACAGTTATGTGCATAAAAAGTACAAGGTTTGTCTGAAATTTTCAAAAAAAAAATTTCAAAGGATAATAATTCCAGTAGTTAGATATTATGTCACCAACGACAACATGTACAGTACGACAAAATAAACTGTCACACTATTTATCATTCAACGCCTAAAAACATGTTTAGAAAGTAGTTTATTCTAGTAAGTTTTATTCAATGAGTACCTTATTTTTTGTTTCTTTATCTTAGAAAGTTAAAAGTTCTTAACAAATTTATGGTCTTTTAGCGGTTTTTTGTTGATCAACTTAATACAAAAGTTTAATTTCCTATAAATCCGACGAGCATATGTAATACTCTCGATCTTCTTACCAATAACAGAGAGTGTTGTTAAAGAATATATGTGCTAAGCACTCATGAAAAATAAAAAAAAAAGAAAAAAAAAAGATTCCTGTCCCAACCCTGAAAAAATATAATATTCAACTACAAAATATTGAACATCCTTTATTTATTTCAATCTTCCCCTGTTGATTTGATTTGAACATATTTTATTGCTTATACTTTACAATTGGGATTGGGCAAAAGTTCTAAAAACTTATTACGCCCTTTCCCTACATATACATTATACCAAACATATTTACATACATGGGTTTCAGCTTAAAATGAAATAACAATAATAATAATATAATATTGATATATAATAATTTGAGTAAAACACATTCAATAGAATTCATTTCATATGTAATAGACATGCTGTATAAGATTTACACTTAGTAATAATTATTGTATCAACCAAATCGTCTTGACTTTTTAATAAAAGTTTGTACAATAGAAAATAGGTATTCATTCAAAATCATTTAACGATTTGTCTCCCCAGAGTAAAGTGTGAGTATCGACAGTGTGTAATTTACCCATTCGCAAAAATTTGTCAAAAAATTCATTCCTGGCCTCTGTATATTTTTGCATGAGAAGAAATAATGATGAGTATCCTCCACTCTTCCACAAGAACATAGTGGACTCAAGATTACATTACATCGAAAAAGATCGCTATTAAGCACATATTTATGTCTAAGCCTCGTGTGTATTATACTTAAGCGTTGAGTTCCATAACTGAAGTAAGAGGGTAGCATTAGTTTACTGTAAGAAATAGACTTTCTAAAAATAGATAACGAGGGAGAATTCCTTACATTAAGAGGTAATGAGTTCCATTCTTCAATAACAAGGGGAACGAAAGTTGATTTGTAAGCTTGCAATCTGCATTTGGGTATGTTATAGTTCTCCGAGTTTCTCGTACTGTAACTTGATGAATTACATCGTAAGTTTGGGATTATATCAGTGAGACATTCAGGAACTTGGTTTTTTCAATTCTATACATTGTAGTTAGTCTAGTCTTTTTCCTTCTTTCAAGTAATGGTTCCCATCCAGTTTCAATGTAAAGTGCATTTCATGTTAACAGATGTTTAGATAATGATTGTATGTTTGTATGATGATTTATTGATACTATTTGAATACATGAATCATACAAGCGACCAATGTGAAAAAAATATCGCTGCTTCGATTGCTGGAAAATTACAAGCTGAATTTTTCTGCAAGAAATTTTAACATTTTAAGCTACTGTGGTGAATGTAACGAAATTTCATCCAAAAACCAACTATGTTTGTAAGCAAATCTGGAAAATGATGGAGGATATGCTGGCACAATTCGAAATTAGAATTCATACAAGCAATGTGAAGAATATTACAACCATCCTTGTTTTTATGTGTCATGTCGACGCCTTTTTCTGCCAGAAGTTCTAAGATTTCAACATTTCCTCCTTGTGCAGCGCATAATGCGACATTCCATCCATTGTAATCTACCTGATTAAGCATGTCTGGGTAATAATGGATGATATGTTTACACATTTCTATATGAGAATGCTTACAGGCAATGTGAAGAATATTTTCACCTAGCCTGCTTTTATGTGTCATACTGACGCCCTTTTTTGCCAGAAGTTGAAGGATTTTAACATTTCCCCCAAATGCAGCGAATATTGCAGCATTCCATCCTTGAGCATTTATCTGCTTAAGCATATCTGGATAATGTTGGATGATATGTTGACACATTTCTGATTTAGAATTGCTACAAGCAATGTGAAGAATGTTACTGCGATACTTGTTTTTATGTGTCGTGTCGACGACATTTTCTGCTAGAAAGTCAAGAATTTCGACATTCCCTCCCTGTGCGGCGCATAATGTAGCATTCCATCCTTCATCATTTATCTGCTTAAGCATTTCTGGATAATGCTGGATGATATATTGGCACATTTCTAATTTAGAATAGAGACAGGCAACGTGAAGAATATTACTACCCACTTTGTTCTTATGTGTCGTGTCGACGCCTTTTTCTGCGAGAATTCTTAAAATTTCAACATTTCCTCCTATTGCAGCGCATATTATAGCATTCGATCCCTCCGTATGTACCTCCTTCAGCAAATCTGGATAATGTTGAATGATATGTTGGCACATTTTTATTTTAGAATAGCTACAAGCAACCTGAAGAATATTAACGCCAAATTTGGTTTTATGTGTCATGTCGACGCCATTTTCTGCCAGAAGTTCTAGAATTTCTACATTTCCTCCTTGTGCAGCAAATAATGCAGCATTCCATCCTCTATTATTTACTTGCTGAAGCATATCTGGATAATGTTTGATGATATGTTGGCACATTTCTGATTTAGCACCAGCACAGGCAATGTGAAGAATATTACTGCCAAGCTTGTTGTTATGTGTTATGTCTACGCCTTTTTCTTCCAGAAGTTCTAGGATTTCAATATTCCCTCCTCGTGCAGCTGAAAATGCAGCATTCCATCCCGCAGTATTCATCTGCTGAAGCATGTCTGGATAATATTGGGTAATATGTTTGCACATTTCTAAGTTAGAATTCATGCAAGCAACGTGAAAAAGATTACCATCTACTTTGTTTTTATGTTTTATGGTGACTCCTTTTTCTGCCAGAAGTTCTAGAATTTCAACATTTCCACCAAAAGCGGTGCACATTGCAGAATTCCATCCCGCACAATCTACCTGATAAAGCATATCTGGATGATATTTAATGATATATCTGCACACCTCCAATGTAGAATTCACACAAGCAATGTAAAGAATATTATTGTCAAACTTGTTTTTATGTGTCATGTCGACACCCTTTTCTTCCAAAAGTTCTAGAATTTCAACTCTTTCTCCTTGTGCAGCGCATAATGCAGCATTCCATCCTTCATAATCTACTTGCTTAAGCATATTTGGATAATGTTTTATGATATGTTGGCACATTTCTAATCGAGAATTAACACAAGCAATATGAAGAATATTTCTGCCACGTTTGTTTTTTTGTTTTATGTTAACACCTTTTTCTGCGAGAATTTCTAGAATAATAACGTTTCCACTTACGGTAGCGTACGATGCAGCATTCCATCCTTCATAATCCTCTTGTTTAAGTATATCTGGGTAATGCTGAATGATATGTTGGCACATTTCTAATTTAGAATTGCTACAAGCAAGGTGAAGAATATTAACGTTATTTTTGTTTTTACATGTTATGTCGACGCCTTTTTCTGTAAGAAGTTTTAGAATTTCAACATTTCCGCCTTGTGCAGCGTACAATGCAGCATTCCATCCATTATAATCAACCTGATGAAGCATATCTGGATAATGTTGGATGGTATGTTGGCATATTTCTAATTTACAATTGCTACAAGCAATGTGGAGAATGTTACTGCCATACTTGTTTTTATGCGTCATGTCGACGCCTTTTCCTCCAAGAAGTTGTAGAATTTCAATGTTCCCTCCCTGTGCGGCATACAATGCGGCATTCCATCCTTCATCATCTTCCTGCTTGAGCATATTTGGATAATATTGAATTATATGTTGGCACATTTTTAATTTAGAATTGCTACAAGCAACGTTAAGGATATTACTGCCATTCTTGTTTTTATGTGTCATGTCGACGCCTTTTTCTGCCAGAAGTTGTAAAATTTGAATATTTCCTGCGTGTGCGGCGCAAAATGCAGCATTCCATCCTTTGGCATTCAACTGTTTCAGCATTTCTGGATAATGTTGGATGATATGTTGGCACATTTCCAATCGAGAATTCATACAAGCAATGTGAAAAATATCACTGTCAATTCTGTTCTTATATTTCAAGTCGACGCCATTTTCTGCCAGAAGTTCTAAGATTTCAACATTTCCTCCTTGTGCTGCACATAATGCTGCATTCCATCCATCATTATCTACCTGAAAAAGCATGGCTGGATAGCGATTAATGAGATATTTGCACATGTGTTTCTCCCCCGATTTACAGGCAATGTGAAGGCCTCCAGTTTTCACTTTACTTTCATAAAAACTGTTCATTTTTCTGGCCCTTGACTGTTCTGAAATGTCTCTTGGTTCTTCCTCTATATAATGTAACGATACATTCGGTTTACCATCCTTTTCTTTTGACTTTTCTAAAAGTTTAATAATTTCATTATCTGAACTATTTTTTCTTGTTGGATCTCGGTTGCTGAGCGGATGTTTCTTATTACCATCTGAAACAATGAATTCAAAAAAACATGTAAAACAGGTAAAGCCACGAACTACCCATATCTGCCTTTATTTTGAGACAAAATTTAAGTTTGAAATCACAAAGCCTATCAAATGTTATTTTGTAGAGTACAATGTCATGTTACACTACATATAATTTTTTGGCACAAAAGTCACCGTCTTTAGCACATGCGCAGCAACAAATGTACCAATGAAGTTAAAAATTGCATAAAACTGCATAAAAACGCCGATTTTACGGCAGTTATTTCGTAATTTGAATGTGGCCACACTCAAGTATTCCTTCCAAACTTTGCATGCATAAAAATATTGCATATATACACATACACCTTTATGCAAAAGATCTTAGAGGTACTTGCGTGTGGCCAATATGAGTTTTACATTTTATGAATGTTAAGCTTTCAGAAATTGAAGCACGGTCCTCCATTTTAATAGAAATAATAAGTTCATCATATGCGTAAATATCTTAAATAAGTTATTAGTATATTAGATTTATTCTTGATAATTATATAATCCCTTGTTTGTCAATAATTTTGTAATAGAATACCTTAAATTGATATTTAAAATGTGTTATTTCATATAAAATTTAAAATTACGCTCTCTGCATTCATGCTTACGTACATCAATGATGACGTCATAATTAGACATTCATGACGTCTTATAGATTTGATTATGAGCAAAAATAATTTTGAGAATATTGTCAAAATAATTTTATAATTAGAAAAAAATTTATTGCTTGCACTAGATCTTGAACGTTATACCTTTTTTCAAATATTTTTATTAACATTAACAAATGCCTAATCCGAATTTAAAATACTAAGCTTTAAAACGCTCTCTCTCTCTCTCTCTCTCTCTCTCTCTCTCTCCGTATAGCTTTTCCCTTCTTTATTAGCCTTTAACAATGTCTTAGAACTTTTTCTTTGGAATTCTTATTTTACAAGATAAGCTAAGTAGTACATATATGTATATGACGATGTCCTTTTATGAAGTGTAAGAGCCATTTATGAATACTTAAGTATTATACATTTTAGGCAGTTTTGTTTTAAGTTTGTGCAGAAGGGAGGAAATAGAAGCGATAGCAATACAGAGCATAAGAATTAAAGAAATAAATAAATACATTGTATAATTCTGCTTTAAGGACAAGATATTACCTGAAAGAAAAAAATCTAAAGCAAAATACGTGTGATATATACCAGTAGACGAGGGTGTCCAAATTAATTTTTTATTGTCTAACATTAAGAGGCAGTCCACTGAAAATCAGGCAGGGTTGTATTAATAGGCGGCACATCGAATGTGACGAATATTTGAAATTCTATTGAAAACAATATCAATGTAGTCCAAATGGAATAATGTAATCGAAGATTTGTCTTAAAATTGCTTATTTAGTAAAATATCCTTTTGTTTCGTGTTCTTGAATTCCCCTATATAAACCATTGAATTTAGGTCAGAAACAACGAACTGTAATTTCCAATACTTATTTAACAGGACTATAATTCATGCTGAACTAAATCTAGAAATATTTCGTCTTTCATTTTCAAAAATAAAATTGGTGGGCAAAACACTTTTGACAGTAGTTTTCTGTCAAAATATATAGACGTTTTATGAAATTTTGCGATGTAAGAGTTATCTTCCGTGGCATCGGTAAATCTGCTAAACACCTTACTATCGAAATCCTAGTGAAATATTTAGAATATATACAGAAAATAAAATTATTTAACAAAAACTTACTACTTTATTTTCAAAACAGAATTCATTTTCGCCTCCAAACGTTATATTTAGATTAAGATTGGCAGTATTATTCAGGTTGAATCCACGTTTCCATTGATGTATCAGTGACGTCATATACCTGACTAATATTGCGTCACAATTAAATAGTTACAAGTTTTCCAAAGAAGTTTGTAAATTCTTTGCATAAAAGCGCAAATAAAACGATTAAAAATAAATAATTTCTCTTTTTCTGTTCAATTACTTTTCAGAGTGCATATCCTACATGTTAAATAATCATATATTTTTATATAAAATGTATTTTTTTCACGGGCGACGTCTCAGCTAGAAGTCCCTTTTAACAGGTAATTTTGTACATGTATGTCCGAGAACTAATTTTTTAAACTGATTTACTAGGCTATGCGTACAAATAATTCATTGTTTATATTGAATATTTCTTAAAAAATTGGGATGTAAAGAGATTTTATTTTCTTCTGATTATCAAGGAAAGATGAATATTTTAGATTTACGCAACATTTATAATTCAAGTCAACGGAGTTGAGATGTTTATTTCATAATATTTGTACACACACACATCACAAAAAAAACCACTTGATTATATTTATATACGCAGTCAAACCAAAGTAAACGATCCGCGGTACGAGTAAAAATATTTTATTAAAAAAGTGAAAAATAAGATTTAAAAAATATTTATTGAGGAAAATTACTGTTGAACTCCCCACTTCAATTTGCCACTAAAACGGAAGATTTCGTGAGCGTATTTTTTGTTTTGTATCGTTTTTGTTTGTTTGTTTGTTTGAACGGCACTAGACCTACCAGTGTATTTGTTTCAGCTATGCAAAAAAATGCATCACCAGGTCCAGAAGAGTTCGTAATATTATACAGTGTGGCTGCGGCAATATTTGAAGATGAAAAAATAATTATCCGAAAAAAGATTTCCGCACAGGATGAAGTTTTTTTTGTTAAAGTAGAATTTAGAGACCATGACAGCAGTCATGAGGGAGGGGTACTGCTGCTTTCTCTTTTAAGCAGCAGTTTCGTGTACCCCTCCTCCTTGCGTGAAATACATTTTTTTTTATTAATTTAAAAAGAAATCAGATCTGAAGCAATCTTAGAAGTTCTCTTTTAAAACATATCTGAATTCGCCTCTAAAATCTAAGAAGTGTTCCTATAAATACAGCATCGGAAACAATGACTTAAATAAAGGATCCTCGCACATTAATTTTGAACATATATTATGCGGATCTCGAGTGACAGGAGCCGTTTCGTTCAAAAATGCAAGCATTAAAACAATTCCTTAAGAGAGAGAGAGAAAGATAATTATGTTCTGAGTACCATGCATGGCCAAATTTAGACTCCAAAACACAGTTGGTCTTTGGCATAAATGTTACGATGTACATTTACGTGGTGTGTAATTGAAAGCCCATAAGTATAGTCCAGTGCATTAATACAGCTGTCGTAAATCTGTTGAAAGAGCCGGGTTGCACAAATACCCTTGAATGGTGTGAATCTCACTGCATGTCTACTTTCTGCTGGATGAGCGAGACAAAATACTGGAATAAACTTTTTTTGCTGTGGTTGCAAAGTAGCAGGAATATAACCCGAAAGTACTGCTAACTTCAAGAAGTTTCTAATGTATAGTTGTGTAATTAAAGTACGTTTGACTGGTCCATTAAATGACGCATTAAAAAAAAAGAGTTATAAGCCACATACAGACTGTATATTACATCAGTTTCAAGTTTTTTTATTAATCAATTTTATTTCTATGACCTATGACCTAAGTAAAAGTAGCTTATACCCACCTTAAACCATGTTTATTTTTTCAATAAAAGCTAGTGTATAAATTTTTTTCATGATGATTTCTCATCTTTTTTCCAAAACATGTAGGTTATGTTTGTCTTTGATTGACTGATCGGAGGATTCATAATGCTGCAATATTATAATGATTTCTTTCAGAGTATGAACATATTAAATATTTTTAAAAAATATGAATTTGTTTTAAACTCTTTTTTTTAATTAATTATTTTATAGAATGAATAATGCAATAGTTTCTACTTTTCCCTCTAAATATCGATAAACATGCAAGTAAAATACACACCGATACAAAAAATCATAAAATCATTGGAGGAAGTGGTGAATACTAAGGCCTCCTGTTGACAGGCAACAAAAAATAATTACAATGCAGGTTACTTCCCTTCAATAGCGGTACACTAACATGCTAACATCCGTGTAGATTATTTCATTTCAGGCACACTTTTTTTTTGGGGGGGGGGGGAGCAATAAAAGGCAAAACAAAAAGGACATTTCATTTGTTATAGTATAAACTGCCTACATTGTACCGAGGATAAAAGGATAATAAATGTAGCTTTTGTTTTCAAAATTAAATTACTAGTATACACTGATAAATTATATTCATTTGAACCCCTTCCCATTTCTTTCAAACTTGCTTTTATTGTTTGTTTTTTTTTTAGGGGGGATGGGTACGCAAATAGAAATCAACACCTCTGTATAAAATCTAACACATTGGCTTTACACTTTAATCAGATTATCTATGCTTTTTATCATAGATATGGAAAGTCTTAATAAATACATGTAGTAACAAGAATTCATGCTGAATATGAATAGATTTATGTTCTTTTTGTTACTGCCCCGGCAAGATACACATGTAATATGCGATCTTCCCATATTTGTGTTTTGGCAGCAAATAAGAATGAAAATAGGGGGAGGATAATAAATTGGCTACTTCGAAAGATTTTCACCTTCTGTTTGATAATCGTTAATTTTTTAAATACTAAATAACAGTAGGCTTTTATTAGTACACTGAAGACTACTCATACTACTCATATGTTGCCTAGTCAATGTATTTGATTAATAAAGAAATTTATTAATGACGTGTTTTCACACTGCATTTATTTGCAAAATACGGCAAACATTTATGACGTCAACTTTAGCGCTAGTTTTCTCAATAACGTCACAATGCACTTAAGCCTGGTTTTCGCTTGACGGTCATCATATACGAACGATTTGGCAATGTTTTGGGATTTTTTTTCTTCTGTATTCATTTTAAGTTTTATACGGCGTTATTACTCCATCTAAATCATAGCAAACTGATTTCTGGTGCGCGGTAACGTCACCAAACGTCACCATTTTTCATGAGTTGTGTTTGCCACTTTCCCATTTCAAATGCTCAGGGAATTGTCAAAAATTGACCAAATGCATTGAAAATTTTAAAAAGACAACAAAATAAATTGTGGAATTGAATAAGGAAAACTTTTACCCTAATCTTATCTATTTAAATCTTTTGTTTCAAATCAAAACTCCTCTATTCTCTTATAAAACCTTCGTTTTTTGACCGTAAGCCGTAGGGCCTTACCCTATGCTCATAAAAGCATTACAAAATCTATATTGTTGTGTATATTTTATCCAAAACATTATGATTAACTTAGATATGATAAATAAACATTCACTGAAAATTTCAGCTTATTACGTCCATTATTTTTCGAGAAAAAAGCTTTGTCCACGATTTTACGGGACAACCATCGTATACATGAACTTGTCTTAAATTCACTTTAAAATTTCACGAATTATGCGAGACATATATTGCACAAATAAATCGGGGTTCGTCACATACACAAAACATACTCACTCTGATAATTCTATCTGTATATCTTTATAATAGACCCAGATTCTTGCTATAAAAAA